TAACCGAATTTTAATCGAATCAATCACAGAAGGGGCATGAAAATTCATCGTCATTGTGAATATGTTTTTTGTTTTTTTTCTATTGTTTTTAGGCGCCGCAACATATCGAATTTCAATTAAATTAAAAACTCATCGAGCGGGTATGAAATTCTATCCAATAAGCGAATAACTTGAAAATTTCAACCGCAACGGTGCGTATTAGCAACGAACTGTATCCCAAATCTCCCCCACTCCAGTAAAATTTGAAACTTCATTGGCTGATTTGTCAATTCGTGACTTTTCGAGTCGTGTCAATCGGAGTTTGTGAAAAATTTCGTTCGACGTCTCGTTCCTCGACAGGGAAATTCCGCCAATCAATTGATAGGAGCGTTAAATGAAGTCAGTCGAGGCATTTATTTATTTTTCTCCTTTTCCAGCCTCGCCCCGATAGTTTAATCCCTCTATGAATAATATTGATAAAATAATCTGTACACATCCGAGCCGGGGGGGACGAGGCGTAGGAAGCGGAACAAAGGCAAAACACTCTATTCGGATAGAATTGATTTTCACGTCAAACTACAATCCTCAATTATTCATCGGTTAACACCGGTATTTTGTAGCTAAACGGATTTTAAATCTCGTAATACGATTATCGATCGCTCGTTCCAAGTTCCTCGTTTTCTTTTTATTTTTATTTTTTTTTTTTTTTATTTTTTTTCGCCTCCCTGTAGTAAGACACGCGAGAATTATGGTTATTTCCCTCCGTGAAAAATGGAGTATCAACCCTCGAGTAGTATCGTTGTATTACAGACAATCACGATAATCCGTTTTAAATTATTAAAATGTAGAATGCTCGGGGCATTCATTTTAAGATTCAATCCATAATAATTTGTCAATTGTAATTTGTTAAAATTCAATTCAATACTTTCACTCTGTTTTCCCAGCGCGATAGAAAAAATTAATCGTCGCAATGTCCGATCCCTATCCTTGATTCACGTTTACACGACGTTTACACGTGGAAAAATTCTCGAAATAAAGCGAACGAAGAAATCGTTGGAAATACACGAATTATTATAATTAAGCGTTGAATTACCTCGACGTGAAAAACAAGCGAAATGTTGCATGTTAAGCAACGGTAAACACTGCGATGCAAAATTTACGGAATAAACATTGCCTTCGGATGGAAATCGAATTAACGCCGACGAAATGATTCATCGAAATCTTTGTTTTTCGACTGCTGGTGTAACAAAGAAAATGAATAATCCCCCGTTTACCCAACTTTAGGAACTTGTCAATAAATATGTCAGAACGTAGTTGGAAACATTCAAGTTTCCTTAATAAAAAAAAGGAAAGAAGAAGAAAGAAAATTGCACACCGGAGATCGTACACTCTACGTTGCAATTAATCCAAATTAATCCAGCAAATGCCGAAGAGACGTTAAACTGGATAAATTGACACGCGCGTTCGAAAAAGGAAGAAAACAGTCGCCGAAGGAAGATAGCATCGCGAATTCACCGTCGACAAAATACGAATGGCGAGAGAGGCCGTCGCGTCGGCTCGCGACGCTCGCAACTTCTCATCTGGCGACCGTCGGATCACGGGCTAATCCTTTCAGCCGTGCACGTCGTCTTCATCGGCATTTTCCAAATTCGTCCGCGACCTATTCACCTGGCGTATCCTCTCCGTTTTCCCCCTCTTGCACCCAGGCGAAGGAAAACGTGCGCGCGAACGATTCATGAAAAACGTGACGAATTTCGAAATGAATATCCAGCTGAATGTTCGAGTTGATTTCCAAATCTTCGAATTGAAACCATTCCGAAGATGAGAGAAGGGAAAATCGAACAACGTTACATCAATGTGTTCTGACGAGAGACACAATGACCAAGTTACGATATTTGGAACTGTGATTTGGAAGATCCTCGGACGATCTAAAAGAAAGTCTTGCCAAAGAGAACACTATGAACTGTGTTGAAGTTAAATTAACACTAGAACTAACTAGTGAATTAACAACAAAACTAATGACTAGTGAATTGACACTGGACCGACTGTCTGGAGTTCAGTATTTCGTCAGGCATTAAAAAATAAAATTATAATTAAATTTTGAAACACAAAAATCAATTTAAATTTTTTAAACATCCACCATTTCGCATCGGTGAAATATCCGACAAAAATTATAAACTGATCATTTCGTGCACTTTGTTTAATTTAAATCTAGTGTTAACGATGAAATACATTCCATTCTTCGATATAAGAAATATTATACTTCTAGTGTGTTCGATGTGAAATCCAATATCAAGGACAATTTGAAAGATCATAAAACAACTTCTTTAGTAAAAATTACTAAATTACCTAAGAAATGGGTGAGTCAATTACAAAACTATCAGATACAAGGGAGAGATCAAGAAAAGGGCTATAGAAAACTATTGGAGCACATATTTTGGTAAAACAATCACGATCAATTAGGACTTAGAACTTTTTTTTTTTTTTTTTTTTTTTTTTTTGGAATAAAGATTATGAATTGTTCATCTTCTGAAGAAGAGGAACTGTGAATTGTGCAACATCAAATTGACGACAGAATACATTTCTTACATCGAAAGATGTAAGAAAAAATATTTTACTCGTAGACACACACACACACACACACACACACACACACACACACACACACACACA